CATAAAGGCTTGGGAAGTGGGGTTGGGGAGGAGATGCCATTAGCACTGCAGAGAAGAACTGAGGCCTGGCTGTGTCTTGGGTTGATCCCAGATGGTTAGATCAAGCTGGGAGAGGAACTCGGTTTCCATTGGTGTGGGGATGTGGATTTTAACAACACATTCTTGTCCTGCAAACACCATCTGAGTGAGTCAAATTGGCCTCAGGCCTTCTGTACAGGTGGGGCAACCAAGACTCAGGACAGGACCAAATGGTTCCCACCTGAGGACAAAATGGGTAGAGAGCAGGGTAGTCTTCTCTTTGGCATCACTGTGATCTCATAACAGAAATGGACTGAATTCATTGCAATGCATCGTGGATTCTACATCTGCCCAGGAAGACGTAAGCCTGTTATACAAGGTCGCTGGCTACGTTCTTATGAAAACTCTGCTTGGAAAACAGGCTTTTGGGGATGTGGGTGTATGTGTATGTGTGTGTGTGACAGAGAGCAAGATAGAGAGGGGAAATACTCAGGCACTTTGGTGGAAGTGGGCCATAGTTTTTATTTGACTCTCAAAGGCCCCCTAGAGTGAGAACCCGAACAGGCTCCTCCAATATGTGTGCCCACCTGCTTTCTCTGCCTGGATACCTGAAGCCCTTGGCTGCCCCCTAGGGGCTCCAGATCAGTTTTATCCTCTCCCCAAATATCCAACACGTGCCTGAGTCCTGACTGGCCAGCCCAGCTCCACCACCTACCACAAGTGTGAACTTTGCAAGGCCCTTGCTTTCTGCACCTCAGTTCCCCTACTTGTATCATGAAGAGAATCAAAGTACCTGCTGCATGGGGTTGTTGCAGGGTTAAATAACAATTACCATGAAAGTGACCGGCACATTCTGAGAAGATAAAAGGGGGTGATTTTCCCCCATCTCTCCCTGCTCCCAGCAAAATGAACCTTGAGCTGCTCAAGGGCAAAGGTGCTGCAAGTCCAGAGCCCAAGCCCCTCTCTGGGTTGGCCACTCCAGGAGGTTCTGTTAGCAAGGGTGCTGTCTCCCTAGGGACAGGGCCATTTGGGATGGGCCTCAAATATCTAAGGGACTTTGGGTAGGACAGGCCCTGTCATCTGGTCCTGCATCTGTTTTATTAGCAGTGGTTGCTCCCAGGGCCAGTCCTGACTCTGCTTCTGTTTCCAGTTTACCCGAACAATGTCACGGCCAAAAAACCCCATGATCCTCCCAAACTTATTGAGATGATTCATGTGACGGTCTGTGATCTCGAAGGTGGTAGACTCACGAGGGTCGAAGTGTTTGTGTTTACCTGCAGACACAAAAGATGAGGGTATGTTATGTGCCAAGAACCAAGAGTGAAAGGGGGAGGACAAGATGGGCAAGGGGAGGGCAATGGTACTCACTACAGCCTGGGTCCTGGCAGTAGACAGAGGTCACCCAGAAGTCAGCAAAGCTGGTGTCAAAGAGGACCCTGAACTTTTGACGGGGTGTTCCAATGCTGATCTTTCCAATGTAGAACATCTATAGGGACCAGGGAGGGGAGGTTAGGGCAGGCCTGGCTGCAGTGTCCACCCCCAATTCTCAGACACTCTAACCCTCTGGGTGCTCCTTGTCTCCTGACATCATGTTATCATGTTCCAAACACCCCACATCACAACCTCTGCTCAGACCTTCACTTGAGAAGCTCTCCAGTCTCCTCTTTGTATCTAGCATGAGCACTTCCTTCTCCAGGGGACCCTCCTAGGTCACCCCAGACCACTCACTCTAATCTCAGACCATGTCCGATCAACAGCCTGCAGGTGACTCTTTCATTTGATATGTGTGCCTCTCTTGCGCGTTCTTGAAGAAGAGATGACACCTCTTTTTCAAATCAGTAACTATAGTGTTAGATTTTTATGGCATCACATGCCATGGGGCCTCAGTAACTTTTTACCACTGTCCTTCTTGGATCTATGGAAGCTGAACATGCTCTGCCTAGGGTTTCACACTTGAATGATCTTCTGTTCAGCCATGATTGAGCCTTCATCTGTAACTCAATGACTCACTTCCTTCAGAAAGAAAAATCTACTTAAACTAATATCTTTAACACAGAACTTGGGGTTTAACGGTCACCTGGTCATTGCTGGGCCCAGTCACCACAGAGCAAGAGTTGAGGATGAGAATGCCTTCTCCTCTGGGAATGGGGTCCCTGTTCCCACAGTGTTTCTGCCTCCTGCAGGAGCCCAACCCCAACATCCTACCTGGTAACTCCAGATGAGCCCCAGTGCTAAGCCAGAGAACCAGGGGGCGCTGGGGAGCACCATCCTCCCAATACACTCACATCCTTAAAGTTTCTCAGGGGACGTATAGAGAATTTCTTGTTTTTAGCAGAATTTTGGAACAGGCTGTAAGCGTGTTCTTCCAGGAAACTGTCCATCAAGTTTTTTCTCTTGAGAGTGTCTTGCATTGTGCTCATCTTCATTAGTGGGATTCTTTCCCAGAACAATGAGGAAGAGAAAACAAAGAGGAGGCAGCAGTCAGAAGTCCATGTTATAGTATGACTGTCATACCTGGCATTGTAATGACACTGTGTATTTTCCAAGCATTTTTGTGAGTGTCATGTTATTATCAAGATGCCATGGAAAGACCATGGCAAAAACCTAGATCTGAATACAGGTTCTGTCGTGTAATCTTGGGTAAGGCATATGACCATTAGGAGTCTCAGTTTCCTCACTGGTAAAAAGGTAGAATGTAATAATCCCCACCCCCCCCCCATATAGAATGTTTTCTGTATTAATTGAAATTATATGATGGATATATCCATTATATAGATGGATATAATGTACTTGATATATGGGATGTCTCAACAGTGATGGTCATTAGCATTGTGGTGGCCATTCCAGTGTATCTTTCTCAAAAAAAGCTCTTGAGAGGGAGACAGAGGAGGGATCATTATACTCTGTTTACAGGCTAGAAATCTGAAATGCAGGCAGTTTGTAACTTGGCTGTGATCACACTGCTTATTGGAAGTAAAACAGCTTAGGAATAATCTTGCTGATCTTCCTTCCTCCAGGGTTCAAGCAGATGAGTAGGTTGAGAGAATATGCCAAGAGATGGAGAACAAATTAAGGAAGTTAAGAGGCTAGAGAAGGAAGGAATAATCAAAATAGAAAAGAATAAAAGAAAAGAAAAAATGCAGAGTTCTGCATGCACAGAGACATTCAAAGAGATGGAGAGATAAAAGAGAGAGATACAGAGATGAAGAAACAGACACATATATGCACAAGTAGAGAGAAAGCAGAGAGAAGACCAAGAAGCAAATGCAGGAGAAATGCTATTACAGAGGATCACACCTACAGTTGCACAGGTTGTCCACTGAACAATTCCAAGGAGTGCCATTTTCATCTAGGTCATGATGTGACTGAACCCCCCTAGTTGTGAAACCCTACAGGCTTACCCCAAAACCCTTGGGCCCCATGGTGCCCATGGCAAGGTACTCATCAATAAGTGAGAATTGAACTTTAAGACTGCCACGAAAAAAAAACAGAAAAGAAACAAAAATGACTGTCAGGGATTGATTTCATTCCCTTCTAACCCTGATGAGTGGAAGAGGAAGACAAGAAAAAGCCAAGAAAGAGAGATGATGCCATGTACAATCCCTGTATGCCAGGAGCCAACACACGAGACCCTACCCATGACAAGGTCATGAGGGAGAAAACCTGATGGGCAAGGCGGATCAGGTTTTCAGGGGTTTCAAAAAGGCCAGCTCACAAGATCCCACCCATGACAAGGTCACGAGGAGAAAGCCTGACAGGCAAGGCAGATCAGGTTTTCAGGGATTTCGAAAAGCTGCCCCCGGTGCTCACCTTAAAGGTAATATCTGTCTTCTGATGCCTGCCTCAATAGACTACTCCCTAATTTCTGTGACACAGGCAGAAGTCCTTCCCTGATCTCTTCCCAGGTAAGAATCAATTTAGAACTTTAATCAATAAGTTTCCCAGGTGGTGGTATTTTATGAGATTATCCAGGGTGAAAGGAGTGTTTTAATTTAAATTCCTTTGCTGGTATTTTAGTTTGTTTGGCAAATGCATTTATGCCCTTGGTACTAATATGCATGATTGCTTATAATACCCTAATCATAAAATAACATAAAGAACCTGATCATATAAAGGCCCTAACAGACATAGAGCCCTTTGGGGGGTGAGGAAGCCCTATTAGAAAACACAAGAAAAATTATTCTAAAAGTAGCTATTGGGTTAACAGTTGCTTGCTGTGTTTTGCTGCCTGTGTTTTGCTTGCTGTGTTTTTGCTTTTAATGTGCTAAGGTTGTGTTATAGAAACCATTGTTAATATAGTTGAAGATCTAGGGAAATAAGAGCTTAGCCCTAGTGTGGTAACAATGAGATGGTTGTTAACTGTCAGCCAGGAGTGCTAGGCAGAGGCTGCCTCACCAAAGTTGCAGAGTCAGTCTGGGGTAAACTTCTTAGATAAACTCAACTGACAACTTCTGCAGAAGGATTAATTTTTATGTTAACAAGGTTATACTTCTACTCTGTACTGTTGCCCTAGGAGACTGCTACCTTTCAGTTAAGGTCACCATAGAAACAAAAAATAGGTTTACATTCACCTGACTTGCATAAAATGTTAATAGGCCCCAAGGCTAGAAGATAATGTACAAGACCCTCATAAACAAAGAAGTATGCAGAAAACACCCTGGTTTCTTGAAGAACAAGCTGATGTAATGTTAAACTATCTTCCTCTTAGAAATGTACTAATTTAGGGTATAAAAGCCACAGTAAAAATAAAGCATTGCCAGACTCTGCTGCACCCCCCGTCTGGTCACTCTCTTTCTCTCTCTCTCTCTCTCTCTCTCTCTCTCTCTCTCTCTCTCTCTCTCTCTCTCTCTCTCACCCCCCCCCCCGCAGACTTGGCCCTATCAAGGCTGGTTTCACGTGTCTTCTCTCTCTCTTGCCGACACCATTCATCGTGAGGGTGCCCCCTGGATCCTGCTGGGGCTGGACCCGGCATCTGTACTTACATGACTATGCACTCTGAGAGGGCCAGCAGCCCAAGGATCCCAAGCCACTTCATGCTTCCTTCTTGGGTCTAAGAGCTCAGAAAAGGGCAGGTTCTAAACAGGGAGTGGTGGTGATGATCACCTAGTTTTATGCACTCTAATCTGTTGGAAGAATTTCTATATGATAAGAAAACAAAACCCTTGATAAAATCTTTACCTCCCTCAGTGACTGTTAATTATGGACTTGGAACATTCTCAGAATACAAAGTTTTCCACTGTAATCTTTTCCTACATCCTGGAATGAAAAACCAAATTGAGCTGCATAGGATAACTAGGAATGTGGAGACCCTTGCCACCTGGAGACCAAAAAAATGCTAAAAACTTGATAAAAATTAATTCTAGGGGCTGTGCTAGACATTTGTGACCTCATGTGGTCTTCCTAGCAACTTCATGAGATGGGAGGTGCATTACCATCCTTATTAGGAGAGGAGATTGCAAGAGAGAAATAGGTGTTATGGCAAAGTGAAGACTTTTGGTGCAGTTCAATGACTTACAAGTGGCTTTAAGTAGTGGGGCACTGGCACAGATCAGGGGCACCTTTCATGTCACTCTGTGTCAAAGTTATAGCCTGAAGCAATAGTATTAAAATTGCATGGTTTCAGTATTGGAAATAATGTGATGTTGGCATTCACAAATACTTTGTATCATCCATAAAACATATACGAAGGCTGGGGCCTAGATTAAGATCAGTCAGTTCAGTCGCTCAGCCACGTCCAACCCTTTGCGACCCCATAGACTGCAACAACCCAGGCTTCCCTGTTCATCACCAATCCCTGGAGTTGCTCAAACCCAGGTTCATCAAGTTGGTGATGTCATCCAGCCATTTTATCTTCTGTCATCCCCTTCTCCTCCTGCCTTCAATCTCCCAGCATCAGGGTCTTTTCCAATGAGTCACTTCTTTGCATTAGGTGGCCAAAGTATTGGAGTTTCAGCTTCAGCTTCATCTTCTGTCCTTCGAATGAATAGTCAGGACTGATTTCCTTTAGGATGGACTGGTTGGATCTCCTTGCAGTCCAAGGGACTCTCAGGAGTCTTCTCCAACACCAGAGTTCAATAGCATCAATTCCTCGGTGCTCAGCTTTATGGTCCAACTCTCACATCCATAAATGACTACTGGAAAAACCATAGCTCTGAATAGATGGACCTTTGTCAGCAAAGCAATGCCTCTGCTTTTTAATATGCTGTCTAGGTTGGTCATAGCTTTTCTTCCAAGGAGCAAGCATCTTTTAATTTCATGGCTGCAGCCACCATCTGCAGTGACTTTGGAACCCCCCAAATTGTCTGCCACTGTTTCCATTGTTTCCCCATCTATTGGCCGTCAAATGGTGGGCCTGGATGCCATGATCTTAGGTTTTTGAATGTTGAGTTTTAAGCCAGCTTTTTCACTCTCTTCTTTCATTTTCATCAAGAGGCTCTTTAGTTCTTCTTGCTTTCTTCCTTAAGGGTGACATCATCTGCATATCTGAGGTTATTGATATTTCTCCCAGCAATCTTGATTTCAGTTTGTGCTTCATCCGGCCCAGCATTTTGCATGATGTACTCTGCATATAAGTTTAAAAAAGCAAGGTGACAATATGTATCCTTGACGTACTCCTTTCCCAATTTCGAACCAGTCTGTTGTTCCATGTCCAGTTCTAACTCTTAGACCTGGGGTCTAGGTTAGATGCTTGGAAGTCAAAGTCCAGTAAGACACAGTTGGCCCTTATCTAAAGGGAGTTAGCATTCTAGAGGAGTTCTCAAAAACTTAGGACCCAGGAGGCAAGAGAAATGATGGAAGGGCTGGGCAGGCGTCCTGCACACAAGGCCGCACAGACCCTACCACTTAGGGCAGCCTCTCCTCAGCTCCAACCAGAGGCTGCCATGCTGGAAAGCAGGCTAGTTTGCCAAGTTTCCAAAAGAAGTCAGAAGTCTGGATATTTACATAAAATCCCCTGATCTTAAATTTTAGTAAGGATTACTACATTGGTTTTTTGTTTGTGTGTGTTTTTCAAAAACCATAGTGTGAGTCAAACTATTGGCGCCAAACTCCAACACCTGTGTGATGGATCCATTCACCCTGCAGGCTGTGCAGGTTTTTATTTCTGGCTTAGAAGTAAGAATAGAGAGCAGACAGAGAGGGGATTCAATTCATGTGAGCTGACTGAAAAAGAGACTGAATGCATCTTAACTATGTTATTTTTCCATCCATTTGTGAAGAAAGATCACCAGGGCCACAGAAACCGACAAATTTATTGATGTTCATTGGCTGAGCATCTGATATAATTCCTCAATAGGATTAATGCCTTGAAACGTCTTGGCTGCCAAACCAAACCTGCAAAGAAGTCATTTTGAAGTGTCTTATCTATCAAAGAAGACAATGAAGACTTCTAGAGCTTCTTCTCAGCCTGAGATGAACAGGGCTACCTATTAAGCTGTTATTCCAGCCAAAGTAAATAGAGTGGAGTTTCAAGGCTTCTTCCAGGACTCCCAGGTAACCTGTTTAGATTTTAAAAAGAATGACCAGAAGCCTACATATAGGTGTTGCTCTTACACACACATGTATATTGTCTTTTTTAAAATTATTTATTTATTTATTTATATGACTGCCTCTGGTCTGAGGTGTGGCACATAGAAACTTCCCTGGGGAGGAGCCAAGGTGGTGGAGGAATAGGACGGGCAGACCACTTTCTCCCCTACAAATTCATCGAAAGAACAATTGAACACAGAGCAAACTTCACAAAACAACTTCTGATTGTCAGCTGAGGACATCAGGCGCCCAGAAAAGCAGCCCATTGTCTTCGAAAGGAGGTAGGACAAAATATAAAAGATAAAAAGAGAGACAAAAGAGCTATGGACAGAGACCCGTCCCAGGAAGGGGAGTCTTAATAGAGGAAGTTTCCAAACACCGGGAAACCCTCGCACTGGCGGATCTGGGGGAAGTTTTCGAATCTCGGAGGGCAACCTAACTGGGAGGAAAATAAATAAATAAATAAATAAACCCCACAGATTACGTGCCTAAAAGCAACTCCCAGCAGAAAAGTACCCCAGACGCCCGCATCTGCCACCAGCAAGTGGGGGCGGAACGGAGAGGAGCGGGTAGCATTGCTTAGGGTAAGGACCGGGCCTGAGTGCCCTGAGGGCAATTGGAGGGAGCTTTTGTGAGATTCCAACTTAAACTGTGGGACAGCAAAAGAGAGAGAGAAAATTAACTGGCCGGAACACACTGCCGGCCGTTCACAGAACAAAGGATCTGAGCAAGTCCAGAGGAGCTAGCCGGCTGCGGACCAGCCCAGCCCCGCCAGAGGCAGGAGGCAGGGAGGAGGGGAAAGGGGCAAACTCGGCCCCAGAGACGGCATCCCCTACCACACTACAAACAGGCCTCCAGTTTCTAACCAAAGACTTCCTGAGACTCTGGATGGTCGACATCCGCTGGGAGGGTCTCAGCTAAACACAGAGCGCACGAACCCGACCTGCGCGGGTGGAAACTAAAGCTGTGGCCATGGAGGGGAGAAGGCGCACCACACCCGGGGACAGTGGGCCCATCAAGCTCCTGTCTGCCTGAGCTGCTCGGGCCGGGGAAGGCACAAAATGCAGGCACAACCGAGTCCGCGCCTTTGTGGGATACCCGGAAACTGGAACCGCACGCAATGCAGGGCCCGCTCCATATAGAGCAACAGGGAGCCTGAGCAGTGTAGATGGGGAAAGCAGCCCCCCTCCCTCCCCGCAGCGTGACTGATCTAGCGAACCTGAACAAGAGACCACTTCCACCCGCCTGTGTCAGGGCGGAAATTAGGCAATGAAGAGACTGGAAAACAGAAGCCAAGTAAACAAAGGGAACTGCTTCAGAAGGGACCAGTGCAACAGATTAAAATCCCTGTAGATAACACCAACTACACCGGAAGGGCCCTATAGATATCGAGAAGTGTAAGCTGGAACGAGGAGCTATCTGAAACTGAACCGAACCCACACTGACCACAACAACTCCAGAGAAATTCCTAGATATATTTTTACATTTTTTTAATTAAAAAATTTTTTTCTTTTCTTTTCTTTTTTAGTTTTTCTTTTATTTTCTTTTAAAGTTCCCTATTACTCCCCCATTACTCCTTAACTTTCATTTTTGTATATTTTTACGATTTTTTTAATTAGGAAAAAAGATTTTTTTCCCTGTATTTTTCTTTTTTTTTTCTTTTTCTCTTATTTTCTTTTAAAGTCCTCTATTACTCCTCTACTACTTCTTAATTTTCATTTTCATTTCACTATAACCTTGCAAAAAAAAAAAAAAGAAAGAAGCCCTATTTTTAAACCGAACTTCATATATATTTCTAAAATTTTTGTGTTTTTGTTTTTGTTTTTAACATTGTATTTTTAAGAGTCTAACCTCTACTCTAGATTTTTAATCTTGGTTTTTCAGCATGTGATATAAATTTTGGACATTTAAGAAGCCAATATTCAGTTCCCATTTTTACTCAGGAGGGTATTGATTACTCTCTCCCCCTTTTGACTCTCCGTTTTCTACCTGAGAACACCTCTGTTTCCTCCTTTCCCCTTCTCTTCCCAATCCAATTCTGTGAATCTTTGTGGGTGTCTGGGCTACAGAGAACACTTTGGGAACAGACAACTGCGTAGATCTGTCTCTCTCCTCTTGAGTCCCCCTTTTTCTCCTCCTGCTCATCTCTATCTCCCTCCTCCCTCTCCTCTTTTTCATGTAACTCTGTGAACCTCTCTGGGCGTCCCTCATGGTGGAGAATCTTTTCACCATTAACCTAGAAGTTTTATTATCAGTGCTGTATAGTTGGAGAAGTCTTGAGACTACCGGAAGAATAAAACTGAAATCTAGAGGCAGGAGACTTAAGCCCCAAGCCTGAGAACACCAGAAAACCCCTGACTACATGGAACATTAAGTAATAAGAGACCATTCAAAAGCCTCCATACCTACACTGAAACCAACCACCACCCAAGAGCCAGTAAGTTTCAAAGCAAGACATACCATGCAAATTCTCCAGCAACGCAGGAACAGAGCCCTGAGCGTCAACTT